CATCATGATACCTAGGTCTATTAATAGGTAATAACCACACATGTAAAATAGTATTGACCTTCATTTCTGTAGCAATTTATTTTTACTATTCACCTCCGTTGGCATTAACCTACTGGGTTGCCATAAGACTGTGAGGCAGTCTTATGCCATCATTTTTCAATTCTTTATAATCATGTAGCAGTAAGGAAAGAAACTTATTGATCACTTGACTAAAGCTAATATTTGCCTGTTGTCCCTACTATTCTGCTTTTCATGACTATAGCAAAACACCTCAGAGAAACCATTTGTTAAGCAAAGAAGTCTGTTTTGACTCATGCTATTGGAGGTTCACAGTCTAAAATTGGACAGTTGTATGGGTTTGACTGTCTAATGAGCCACAGCATGGCAATGGAGGGGCATATGCAAAAGAATGATCACGCCAGGAAACAGAAAGAGGAACTGGACCCAAATCAGGTTTTTGTAACTAATCCTCTTGCAAGATCTCCCTTCTGGGGCCCATCCCCCCAGTGACCTAAGGATTTCCCACTAGGCGCATCTCCTAGACACCACAATTGGATTAAGTCTCCACCCTGTTAGTACCATCCAGTCATGACTTCAGGACTGAAGGGCCTGCATGAATTCGGGAGCCATATCCTCTTCAGATCAGGGCATCACAGTCTATTTTTTACCCCACACAGCATCTTTAACAAGGCATTACTGGGAAATGGGATGTGTGGTCACTCAAAGAAAAGGGATGATTGACATGAGCACTACTTTTGCTGATCACACTTGAGCCACAGCTTGTAAGACCTCTTATTCTTCCTAGGTAACTCCCTTTATTTGATGTAAGCTTTCCTCAAAATAAGCAAGTACCACACTGAGGCCATGGAGAGGCGTAATTAAAATATTTACAGTATACTAATTGCAAGTTTAGGTTCCCTACTGCAAAAATTTTTTAAAATAATATTGTGGAACAGCCTAAAATATAGTCATAAATGCATATTTGTAATGTGACAGAATTACAATTTTAAAACATTGAATTATACTTTGCTTGGTATGTGATTTTTTTGTGTGTGTTTAAGTTTTTTTTCATATTCTGAAAAGCTGTTTTGCTCTAAGTCCAGTGCTTTTTACTTTTATCCACAGGGAAGTCATAATCCCTCAGTTAAAGAGGAGCTGGTTACCATGGAAATCACTCTAATGCCACTGAGTCAATATTTTGATTTTGCTGACATTTAATGTGAAAAGAAAAGACAGGCTAAGATTTATAGAAGTCACTTTATATCTTTGTTATAATGTTGACAGCTAGAAAATCATAAAGAAAACATGCATTTTATAATGAACTCCAGTTAACTCATCATTATAAATAACTGAGAATTCATAAAAAGAACAATCTGCATATTTATATAGTTTTGCCTTTGAGTGCAAACATACGCCTGCATGCATTTGAACTCAAGATTTTTCTCAACCCCTGAACTGGGCTCTGATTCTTTCTTATTACTGAGGTCATAAATTGGTAGAGACTTGAGTATACACAGTTTTATAATTGCCTTTTTATTAAGTTTTCTGAAGAGAAAGGAAAATTTGCATGACGATCACCTTTCTGCACAAGTCTATCATTTCTGAACTGAATCCTAATAACCTATCCAGTCCATTTAATACTCTCAAATCTCGATTGCAGTTGAGCATTTACCCAAAACATCCAGAGAGTTCTTAAAACCAATTTGGGGCAAGTTGAGGAAAGAGTAGTTTAAACAAGGACAGGCAGAGTGGACAGTGAGAGAGACAGAGAAAGGTCTTCCTTTTCTGTTGGTTCACTCCCCAGTGGCTACTGTGGGTGGTGCACCGCGCTGATCTGAAGCCAGGAGCCAGGTGCTTCTTCTGGTCTCCCATGCAGGTGCAGGGCCCAAGGACCTGGGCCATCCTCCACTGCATTCCCGGGCCACAGCAGAGAGCTGGCCTGGAAGAGGAGCTACCAGGACAGAATCCGGTGTCCCAACCAGGACTAGAACCCAGTGTGCTGGCGCCACAGGCAGAGGATTAGCCTAGTGAGCCTCGGCACTGGCCCAGAGAGTTCTTTTTTGAGAAGAAATGTTGGACTTGGACCTAATGTATACGTCTCACCACCCATCAAATAGTTATCCAAATTCAACTTAAATCACAGCCAGATAATTTAGTCACTTTCCCCTCACCTGCCTTTAGAAGTTTATACAGCTGATACTTCTGCTTGATAATCAGCCATTGGAAAACCCTGTATGCTTTCTGCTTGATAATCAGCCATTGGAAAAACCTGTGTCCTTAGATGGTAGAAGGACTTGAGAAAGAACTGTGGGCCAGTCCACATAAGGAACTAGATAGCTGCAGGATCTCAGATGGATGGTCATCATTTCCAGTTGTAAGACAATGAACTGCTGCTCAGGTCTTCTGTCTGAGGGCAGTATCATGATTACCCATATTTCCCCTGTTTCACTGTAAGTCACCCCGACCCAGGGCAGTATCATGGTTTCCCCCTGTTTCACTGTAAGTCACCCCGACCCAGAGGGAGTTGCTGCATTTCGCACCTTCCCCGGAATGCTGCCGGCAGTGTGACCTGGTTTGGCGGCACATCCCTTCCTCACTGCTTCCTTGTCTGTCTCATTCCTCCTCTCCCTTTGGGTGGTTCTTTTACTTCTTTTTATTCCTGAATCATTCCAGAGTACATTTGGGCCCACTCATTCAGAAATCACTATCTGACATCAATCATCTTCTTTTGCAAACAATACAAGGCAATTGATTGTGTAGTTTTCTGGCAGTATAAGTAAGAGAGGGGTGACTTCTGGTATAAGATCACACAAATAAAGAGAAACGAAAAGCACCATGCATTAATTTCTGTGGAAACATGATGACAATTATTTAAAATATACAAGAGGCAAGTCTTAGATGGCCTATTTAAGGTGTTAACAAGTAAACTAAATACCTACATTGTTTCAAAAGTTTCAATGTGTTACGAGGTAAAGAACATAGAAATAACTCTAAATCATGAGAAAAAAGTCAAATATACACTACAAGGCAAAGGAACCAAAAGGAGCCACATGAATTTACAAGCAGACCACACCACAAATGCTCCCTGTAGGGACAGGCATTGTGGTACAGTAGGTTAGGCTGCCGTTTGGGATACCACATTCCATATCAGAGTGCTGGTTTGAGTCCTGGCCTTCCTATTCAGCTCCCTGTCAGTGCAGCTGATAGCGTCAGATAAGGGCTCAAGTAACTTCAGTTCCTGCTGAAGTAGGCAGGCATACAGATTAAAATTGATCAGATTTGTGAACTGGAAGACCACGCCCCTGTGTGACCTCATGCTCCTACCTGATGCCTTTGCCACGCCCCTGTGTGGGCTCATTCCCCTACCTGGCCACACCGGGGTGCCCACCAGCCAATCAGGTTAATTAACCACTCCCCTTTGGAGTGGGTTAAAAGCCTAGGGCACAGTGTACCCAGGCCCTGCTCTTCTTCCCTGGCCTCTTGCCAGGACAGGGTTTGCTGTAGCCCTGTGCCTCCAAGGCGCATGGCCTTCGGGCCATGTGCTCTAGGCTTCCTGGCCTAGATGCTCATCCACATGGCTGGTTCCTGGTGCTTGGTATGAACCCCTACTCACCTCTCTCCCCCAAATAAAGCTCTCACTCTCTTACGCACCTTTCTTACTAAATAAAAGCTTAAAATGTATCATTCTGCCTTGCTCATCTGTGCCGGTATTTAGAATTCTTCTCTAAATATTAGGCAAGAACCCTCTTGGGCTTATTAATATTGGGGATTTAGTAATAAGCCCGTGGTGAAATCATAAGGCACCCCAAATTCCAGTAGTGCATGTGGCACCCTGGATAGCATTTCTAGGGAACTTTAAGGGGCCACATTTCAGGGTAAATTTTAGGGGGTCTTTTCCGATTTCACTGCCACTCACAAGGGAAACCTGGATGGAGTTCCTGACTTCAGCCTGGCCCAGCCTTGGCTGTTCTGGCCATTTGGGGAGTGAATCAGCAGGTAGAAGATCTCTATAAGAAGTGAGCTTGCTCTCTTTCTTTCCCACTCCACTCTTTCTCCCTTTGTCTTCCTTCTCCCCACCAAGTGAGGGATACAAGGAGAAGCCAGCAGCGTGTAACCCAGAAAAGAGCTCTAGGCTGAACAGACCACATGGTACCCTGATTGGGCGCTCAGCTTCCAGAACAGTGGAAAAGGAATACGGTTCCTTATAACCCACCCAGCCTGTGAGGCTTTGTTAGAGCAGGCAGAACTCACCAGGAGAGCTTTGTCACAGCACACTTCAGAACACTCTCCCACCAGCAGGCTCTCAGGAAAAGCACAGGAAAACAAAGACCTTACTTATTTCAATAACCGTTAAAGAGCTGGTGAGACAGAGTGTTTTTAGCAGGACATAATTCATATTCGTAGACCAGCAAGGATGGCTGGATAGATCTGATTTGTGTATTTCATAGCTGAGAAACAATATAGGCAAACACATAAATTAGAGAAATAAAGTGGAGACTGAAATATGTAGTATAGAAACAAACATACATCTACATACATAATTTCATATTCACTAGCTGGAAATACACTGAAATGCCAAAAATGATTATTTCTAAAAGATAAAAGTACAGGTTATTTTCTTTTTTATATTTTCCAGAATTAAAAAGCATCCCTAATAATCACATAATACTTCCATTAACTCTACAAATAGTGTCAATAAAAGCAATCTAAGATAAATTTTGGATGAATTTCTAGGCAGAATTCTCTACCGATTTGAAATTTTAAGGCAGGAAACTCATATATTGTCTTTTCCTTTCTGATCACACAAATTAAATCAATTCTCCTGGGAGTGGTTTGACAACACAACAACAAATAACTTGCCCCTTTGTTTTTCATTTCTGGGAATCCCGGTGATGGGAGCAGGATTATGTGACCACTGCAGAAGTGAGAAGCTCGGGAGCATGCTGCCTTAGTGTGTGGTCTGAAATGGGGTTTTGGGTGCTGTGCACCCGGTGTGTTACCTTCAGATCTTTCGTGGGGCTTCCCACTCTTACTGGCTGCCGTGCTGTTGACCGTCTCCGAGGAGGTGCTCAGCTTGGTGCTGGGGTCCCGCTTGGGCTTAGGTGGTGGTTGTCTCCGGGAGCCACAGCTGCTGTCATCGTCTGTGCCCCCGACTGAGTGAAGGGACTGTGATCTCACGGAAAAGCCACTGGGGCACGGGTGGGGAAGTCTGTCCTGAGGAGCAGGCATTGTCATGAATCCCATGCGGAAGTGTTTGCCCACGTAACTTCCTTCGTGGCCTCGCCCTACTTCTCCACCTATGCTGTAAAAGAAAGTAGACCAAAATCCGTGAAGACAGTGATCCAGGATACTCACACGCAGACTGGCATGTATTTACACTGGTGAAATTGCAAATTTTCACTTTAAACTGGTGACAGAGCACCTCTGTTTTCAAAAGGTTGCCTTTTAAAGCACTTTCAAGTAGCATGGAAGCATTCTATGCTTTAGTGCTAAATTACAAAAGTAAATACAATTTGATTATGATCAGAAATCTCAATGCATACTTTCTGATATCTTAATATTCAGACATGCTTAGTATCCCAAAGGAAGATTACTGTATGGCAAGCTTTATCTTCAATCACTTTTCTTTACTTTGAGCGACTCTTAGCAGTAGCTTAAAAAGTACACAAAGAGAGATTTGTATGTGTTTGTGTCTGGGTTGGAGGTATGAAAGAGAAAAGGACAGAAAGAGAGAGAGAGACTGAGAGAGAGAGAGAGAATGAGAATACTATCTACTGATGCATTCCCCTAATGCCTGGAATGGCCTGAGATGGGCCAGACTGAAGCCCGGAGCTGGAACTCAACTCAGGTCTCTCATGGGAGTGGCACAGACCCAAATACTTGAATTTTCACCTGCTGACTCCCACAGTGAACATAAACAGGATGTTTAGTGCCTAAGCCAGGAATTAAACCGAGGTACTTTGATGTGAGATTCAGATGTCCTGATGGGAGTCTTAAGGCTAAGCCAAATGCCAGCCCCCATAGACTGCCATTTATCAGGTAAATGAATCCCAGCGGTCAGCCCTTGAGATCTTTGTTCACCATATCATCAAAATCATTGCTACTATTTGTTTGATTAAAATATTGGGAAATTTGAAATAAACAATGATGATAAATTTTCTATTATCAAATTTCAGAAAGAAAAGAAACAGAGACCAGGACAGAGACAGAAGTGGGGAGAGGAGAGGAGCCTGGAAACAAAAAAAGGAGGAGAAAAAGGAGAGGAAGAAAAAAAAAAGAGAGGCAAAGAAGGAGGAAAAACTTGCTCAAATTGGCAAAGGAATTAACTAGGTTTCTCAGTTACCCAGGGACCTTCAGTTATGTTTGGGATTTCATTGTTCTAGCAATCTAGCTAGAGTAAAACAACAGCATATAGTAAAAAGGTTGTTAGTGATACTGGTGCTGTCTTATCTGAGGCACCATTTTAAACCCTGGGCGCCATTTTAGGCTCTGGTCCAGTTGCCATCTTGTATAATAAGTTTTGGTTTCTTCAGAATAAGTTTCAGTTCCTACATCCAGCCTGGCTCTCTAGAAGTTAGGTGACCAAATGGCCCAACCACAAGTGTCAATTCCACTCTCACCTTAATAGGATTTGCTGTTCCCACTTCCATATCTCTGCATGGCTATAATAACACCTGTTTTTCTGCATAAGCGCTCTCTCTCACCCTCTCTCTTCAGCCTGTTGTGTCCCCCCCACCCCACACACACCAATAAAACATTTCTTTTAACTCCAGTGTTTGGTGTGTTTTGTGGTAGCCTTTCAGAAGTGAAGTTTAAATACCAGCTGAGATGGACCCAAATCGTTTATGAGCCTTCAGGGTATACAAAGTTTCCAAATTTAAGATTTTTCAGGTGTACATTGGAAAATTTGAATGCCAAATAATAGATATCAGAAATTCTTTTCCAGTTTGAAGTTCAACTAGTCACACATGAAGTATTTTTTGAGCTTCCTTTATGCCATTTATTATTGATGATTATTTTATAAAGAAAAAGGATATGGATAGGGATGTGGATTCTTTTTTAAAGACTTATTTATTTATTTATTTGAAAGTCAGAGTTACAGAGAAAGAGGGAGAGAGAGAGAGAGATCTTGGATTCCCAAGTGGCTCCCCAAGTAGTTCTAATAGCCAGGCTGAGCCAGGCCAAAGCCAGGAGTCAGGAGTTCAACCAGTTCTCCCATGTAGGTGGCAGCGACCCAAACACTTGGGCCATCTTCCTCTACCTTCCCCAGGCCATTATCAGACAGCTGCATCACAAGTGGTACAGCAGGGACACAAACTGGCACCCATATGGGATGCCAGTATCTCAGGCAGTGGCTTTACCTGACATACTACAACGCTGGCCCAGAATGTGGACTTTTAAAAGAAAGATTGTTCTAGAGTTTTCTCCATCAGTGGAATTCATTCATCAATAGAGGCATCGTTAAAAATAAAATAACATAAATTACTGATTTTCTCAGCTAGGAAAGGTAAAAAGTTCCTTTGAGTACATGAATTCTTGTAACTTGCTGAGTTTAGCTTTCCAGATGTGTGAATTTTTTTTTTGAAATTTTAAAATTTTGAAACTCTAATTTTATCTGTTTCTGCCTTCATAACATGAAGGAATTTGAGGTATGGTGTTCAATTCTCTTTATTGTATCTTTTATGTCTTTATAACATTTGTCACTAGTTTAACATTCCATTAGGAACAATAATGGGAAATGAGACTTTTCTCCTATTTATCTGAGGCTTATTACAATTGCATGTCCATTGTGGATAAAGCTAGAAAGTGTTCTACAAGAACATTAGCCTTGGTTTCTAGCATTTAATTCCAATGATAACTTGCCACTCAGTCAAAATTATTTTATATGCATTTCATTTTTATGAGTAGTTTCCATTGGTATTCAGATAGTAGACCTCCTGCAATCAAGGTGGCTAGAAGTGCAATGCAGCTCTTTGGTGTAGTGGGTTAAGCCACTGTCTGCTGTGCCAACATGCCATTGGGCACCAACTCAAGTTCTGGTTGCTCTGCTTCAGATCTAGGTCTCTGCTAATGCACCTGGAAAAGAAGCTAAAGATTGCCCAAGTCCTTGGGAAGAAGCTTCTGGCTCCTGGCTTTGGCCTGGCCACGCCTCAGTAGTTGAGGACATTTGGGGAGTGAATTAGCAGATGGAAGATATCTCTGTCTCTCTTTGTATCTCTCTGTTACTCTGCATTTCAAATAAATAAATAACTCTTAGAAAAAGGAACAAGTTCAGTGTACTGATCCAGCAATGAATATCCAGAAACATGAATGACATCAAAGTGGTGGCTAAATGGAAGTTTTCACAACATAGCTGTAAACATACTGTCAGTGCAATTTTTTTCCCCACACATTTTATTTTATGCTTTTTTCCCCCAAGAATATCAACCAAAACATAAACTAGGAACTTACTCAGAGTGAAAAATTATTAAGGAAGAATATGAATAGTGAGGGACACAGATAGTCTTTATGGTATAAGAATATCTTTGATTTGTGATGATTGTGGTCTTGTTCTTTCTCACAGAAGATAAGCTACATGATTTTATCCAACTTTTCCTTAAATCATTTTTCATTTCCATGTAGTTTCCCTATGTGTCTTGTCATATCATTGAACAAAAGGATCCTTGAAGAATTTATTTGAACAATCATCTTGTTCCAAGTTAACAGCCACCTGGAGAGATTTATGTATGTGTTAATGCACACAAGCATTTGACAGAGTTACTGGAATTCATTGTATCAGCAATTTCCCTGTTTCTTCTGACCTAAATTAGGTCTGCACCTTTTTCCAGTTAAATAATTAGCTCTGCAGTTTCATTTTAGAATTATCTTTTATCAGCATAAAACAGTTTCATCTAACTCCCTGAATTTTGCTCACATATGTACATTTAAACACATATATAAATGCTTGTTTTAAGAGAAATTCAACAGTAAAAATAAAAATATAGCAGATACATGCGCAGTTTTAGTTTGACCAGGCTGAGGATGCAGGATAAGGAAAGGGGGCTAACACAAAGGCCATTATTCAAGTCAGGACAAGGGTGAGAAATAAAAGCACTGGCATATCTAGGTTCAAGAGACCAAGAAAGCTGATTAGTACAAAGCAAATTGAAGATTGTGGCATGGAGCATGCAACTAGGTCTGGAATTCGCTAAAGGAATCTGTAGAATTTTTCAAATATTCAGATCCCAGGACCCTATACTAAGGGCAACTGCTGAATCAGAAACTCTGTAGGTAGGGCCAATGAGTCTGTGTCTTTACATTTATATCCAGATTTTTCTAATGTTGCTGATCCAGAGCCCCTCAAAGATATATTAATAACAATAGAGTCATTAATGAGCATGTACCTGTAGTCAGAAATAGGAAGATAAAAGTACCAAGCAAAACATTGGAGCTGCAAAATTGTATAATGTGTTAGTCAGAACTTGTCAGGTTGTGACAGTTAGGTGGGCTAATAGGTAGCTAGGTAGGTCCAGATTGGAATGAGAAAAGAGGACGTCCCTGTAAGAAGGGATAAGATGCATGGTTCCCCCAGAAGCTGCCTTTAGGAAGACAAAAGTGAGGATCTCACCCTTCTGAGTTTCTGGTTTTATCAAGAAAACAGAAAGAAGTTACCTATCCCACCCTCTGGTAGCTTTTTTATTTTGTGAGCAGAGTAGACAGGATTACCATTAAGGCCTTCTGATGAGCTTCAATCCCACCCTTTGATTGTTCCCTGAATTGTGTTTCAGACTCCACTTCTGTCAATTTCTTGGGTCTTCTCTTGGAGTCCCCCTCCTGCCTTCTGTGGCAGGGCTTTTCTGACTTAAAATAAACCTGGCTTTGCTTACTGTTTTGTCTGCCTGGAAATTCTTCTACATGAGACAAGAACCACTGTCTCCTTCTTTCATTGCCACTTTTACCTGTAACAAGGTTATCTTGCAGTAACACATAGTCCTCCCTCACTAGTGTCTTATTACGCCATAGGTCTATTTCTTGATTGCTTTAATTGGGCTGGCTATTCACCAGTTGCGGTTTTGCTCCATGTTTTTTTCATTCATTCTTTATTATAGTCCCCTATTAAGATATGTTCTCCTGACAAAGGGTAATCACTGACTGAAACACCCAATGTCTCTTCAATTTCTACTTATATGTGGCATATAATATTTCATTCATGTTCTACTGATTAAAACCAATATTATGGTCAAGTTTGACTTTAATGGATAGGAACATAGCCTCCAATAGGATGATGCTACCTATTATGCGATGGTATGCATATTCCTCTTA